CTAAACTTTAGACACTATATAGGCTACACTAACGTGACTTTTAGGTGGTTGATTTAACTATTATACGTGATGTACGTTTTTTGGGGGTGGTTAATGAAAGTGTTCCAAAACGCGACATTAATTTATTGATGACCTAATATAAACTGACGCCTTGATTATTGTCTTTTCTGTCAACATTCATTATAAAAAAAGACCACAGTCTCTATAAAGTTTTTGTAGGTGAAATGGTAATAACCTACAACGTGCGTTTTGTGATTCGTCAGCTAACGATAAATTTGGTCCGAAGTTTTTACTTGATAAAACCGTATTCAAGGACACACTTATTTAAATCAAGATTCCGGAAAAGCTATCCGTTATTGTAATTTACCATCAACTAATTCAGGATTTACTGCAGGCCCGGGAAGGATTTGGATAAAGAACTTTGAACATTTATAGAAGTGTTTCAAAACTATTCTAACGAGTAGCTTACATTGTAGCAACTTACTATAGCCTAATATTAAACATCTTAGTGTTGTTTATAATGTCATTTGTTCTCAGCCCGAGACACAAAATGTGACCACACCCCATACTAGCTATAACGACCCTGGTGAACACTTATAAGTCGCGATAAAAATCAGAAGAACGCCCCACGTCATCTGCCAATCATTTGTCCAATAATACTCAAGTCTCACCAGTGAGAATTTCCCCTCGCCTGCTCGAGCCACGCCCACTTCTTTCATTCCCCGAGTACAAAGTACAAAGCTTGTTGTGAGCCTGAACACAGAATATCTGTTGTTGAATTTGGTAAGACCAAATGGTTCCGTAGTGTTAAGTATATACCTAGGTTAAACAGATCTGAAAGCGTGGTTATTGAAAATGGACGCTTCCAAATAAGTTTTTTTTTGTATATTCTCGTAAAGCTACACAAGGGCTAAACTACGATAGCCGTCTCTAATTTGAACTTAAAGATTAGAGGGTAGGCAGCTAGTTTTTAGTAGCCCTCGCAAACTTTTAGGCTACTCTTATCTGAACGACTAGTTAGATTTGACTGTCACTCTTGCCACGCACTCACGACCCAAAAATGCGGATCGAGTTTTTGTGGCAACGGGATGCGAACCAGAAACCCTCTGATTCACAGTCGGAACCTCTCGGCCATAGTTATCAGAGAACCTATGACTTAGAGAATAGTGAAGAAAAGCCTCAGAAAGTGATTATTTATAAAACTGTTCTTCAAAAAGGAGTAATTTTTGTCCTTTTGGCTAATTTAACCACACGGTTCTTATCAAAGAGATTTAGTTTCTATAGATGTTTAAATATCTCAACTCATCTGCTTTTTATTTAGAGTATTTTTTAAAAGTCCAGACTGACATGAAAACATTGTGTTTCATGGGATTTGTTTTATCGTCACATTAACAGATGCTAATTTTTCCAGATGTGGCAAGATATTGAGAGTGTGTTAATAGGAGACATGACCAGCCCCTGTGACATGACCAGCGGAATTCAGTGTGATAACCGGCCGCTCCCTTCATCTTCTGCCGTCAACACATTCACTCAGGTCGGGTTCACGGGAACGTCTCGCCTTCAGTACCAACAGCAGCAGTTACCGACGTCGTCAGCCACAACACCGGGGCAACTCTCAGACGCCCGCGTTCTGGAAGACGTTCGATTAGAAAGAAGCTTAGGTTTGAGTTTAGAAGGAGTTAAACAGTTTTACACCGAGGATCCTCCTAGCGTGAGCTCGAACGTGAAGTGCGAGATGAATTTAGCGGGATCGTTTTCCGATCCTGGCAGTGGAGAGTCCTATTACTTCTACAACTATAACCCCTACGGTCAGAGGTACGTGCCGGTCACTTCCGAGGTCAAAAATGAAAATTGCTATTACCCAAACAATACAGGTACAGACAGTTTTACTGGACATTGGACAACCTACAGTTGTGGGATGCCAAGTCATCAAGTCTCACCCCCGGTCACTCCAGATAATCTCACAGCCAGATATCCTTACCAGAGTGAACCTTACACTGTCATTCCAGATAATCTCACAGCCAGATATCCTTACCAGAGTGAACCTTACAGTGGATTTCAGCCAGGGATGTCAAAAATGCAAACTGGACTATTACATCCTCATTCTTCCTCCAGCGTGCCCCCAAATCCTAGTCATACCAGGATGGTGACACCACCCACTTCTCCTCATCTAGTGGGGTTCCTGGCTGCTGGAAGAGCATCGTTTTGCGCTGAAGGTAATCTACAACCTCCCCCTTCTAAACCTAGGCGGGGTCGTCGATCGAGAGGTCCCAAGAAAGTGACTGTCCACACTTGTTCGTATGCAGGGTGTATAAAAACTTATTCTAAGAGCTCCCACCTGAAGGCTCATCTCCGGACCCACACCGGCGAGAAGCCTTACGAGTGCACGTGGAAAGGATGTGGCTGGAAGTTTGCACGTTCCGACGAACTGACCAGACACTACCGGAAACACACCGGCGATAGACCTTTTCAGTGTCGCCTGTGTGAACGTGCTTTCTCTAGGTCCGACCATCTGTCGCTTCACATGAAGAGACACGTAGAAATTGTCTAATCTGGAGGTCAGGTGGATGTAAGGAGATCACGTCGTGGGTGCCGGATGCTCAGAACTCTCCAACTCCGCCGTAACAGCAGCGATGACGTACTCTAGTCACTGACGGTTCACTAGCCCTCACATCACATCTTAACACCGAATGTACCAGCAGTTTCATGCAAGCACAGTGATTCGCCGACTATGTACAACCGAAACAATGTCCGTCTAGTCCAGCAAGACAGTCAATGAAGGTAAAGGTACTTGAATTTCTTAAATGTATTTTTCAGGAAATCGACAATAGTGCTCAAAATCTTCCTAGTGCTAGTGGTTTGGTATCCAGCAAATATAAGAAATATGTAAACATTTATTGTTGCAGAACACGTGCGTTGTTACCGACTTCAAAGCCACATTCAAGTATTAAATTTCTGTATAGATGTCGCCGTACGATACTCTTGAATACTGAAACCTCCTAAATCTCTTATCGCTGAGAAACGCCGAAGTCGTTAAAAGTTGCTTTTCTTCCCAAATTCAGATCAGTAGGTTTTAAAAACACGTTTCATTGGGAAATACAATATTATGATTGGTTTATTTTTTTACTAGGGATTGCACAGTTTAGCCACGTGAGTGAAGAAAGTTGTGAAACTGATATATGCATTTTGTACCGAAATTGATGACAATCTTACGTGTAACCCTTGAAAGCTTTTTTAACTTGAAGAATCTTAGGCTGAGTATTTCTGTTTAAAGGAGAAACGCTATCGAATATTCCCATTTGGAGTCTTCTATAAAAATACCATATCTTTCTCTCAGGAATTACAACTTTAGATTTAGGATACAGCTGTTACTGGACATCTTTCTCTCAGGAATTACAACTTTAGGTTTAGGATACAGCTGTTACTGGACATCTTTCTCTCAGGAATTACAACTTTA